GAGGTTCCATCGGGGCTCCAGATCGCGACTCTTATCCTTACATAAAAATTGAAAACTATTAGTCAAAAGAAAAATAAATGTACAAACTTCCATCCATGCAGCTTTTCTTGAATCTTCACTTGAATTTTGACTTTAAGATATCACCTTGATTTTTGAGTGAATATCTTAACTTAGAATTGGAATAGAGGCTGAACTTGCCACTTAGGCAGAACTTTCGACATTCTTCAAAATGACAACTTGAAAAATGCTCTTGAATAAATGCGTGTTTTCTTGATCAAAAGTTGACTAGCAAAAGATGTGTGGAAATCAGGCTGCTACATGCATTGAAGAAGCTAATTCTAACCATCATGGAATTGATTATTCTAAGAAATTTGAAACTTTGTTCTTGAATTTCAAATCCAGGTCTCGCTTGAGAAAACCTGAGAACCACCACAAACAAAAAATAAATAAAATTTTTGCCCCAGTTTTCACTGAGAAAATTTTGTGAGTTATTAGCAAATATAAATATAAAACATAAACTTCGGCTAGGAAGTGTTTATTTCAGGAGAAAATAAAACTAAAAATCTAGACTAGGGAGTGTTAATCCTACGAGAAAGTAATCTAATCCCATTATTCATGAGGGTCTTGCTAGTCCCATTATCCAGGGGGGTCCTGCGAATCCCATTATCCAGGAGGGTCTTTAAGTCCCATTATCTAGGAGGGTCCTGCTAATCCCATTATCCAGGGGGGTCCTGCTAATCCCATTATCCAGGGGGGTCCTGCTAGTCCCATTATCCAGGAGGGTCCTGCTAGTCCCATTATCCAGGAGGGTCCTGCTAATCCCATTATCCAGGAGGGTCCTGCTAGTCCCATTATCTAGGGGGGTCCTGCTACTCCCATTATCCAGGAGGGTCCTGCTAGTCCCATTATCCAGGAAGGTCCTGCTAGTCCCATTATCCAGGAGGGTCCTGGTAGTCCCATTATCCAGGAGGGTCCTGCTAGTCCCATTATCCAGGAGGGTCCTGTTAGTCCCATTATCCAAGAGGGTCCTGCTAGTCCCATTATCCAGGAGGGTCCTGCTAATCCCATTATCCAGGGGGGTCCTGCTAATACCATTATCTAGGAGGGTCCTGCTAATAAAGTTTTCAACAAACAAATAATACCAACGAAACATTGTGAATGCTATCTTCATTATTTGGAAGTTCCTTCAAGGAGAATAATAATAATAATAATAATAATAAATAAAATAAATATTCCAACATTCAAGTAATTGCTATTTTGATATATATTAGCCAACTTTCATATAATATTCCACAAGTCTTTATTATAGGGTTTCCATTTCGCTCGCTGCAGACTAGGTTGAACATCTAGGTTCCTCGAATCCTTAATCTTGAAACAACTTGTGTCCCTGCTTCAACAAAGAAAATTTGTGAGTTTGAAAAGGTGGTGGTTGGTTTGTGGTTCCATCTTTCGACAAAGGCGGCTCAAACACTTATGACGCATTGGTTGTTTCCAACGTTCAATACTTCTTACTGATTGATTGTACTTTCATCCACATTTGCTTATTTTGCAACCTAAATCCAATGTCTTCATCTCATAACACTCATTGTTTAGCCTTCATAGGATCAGAGAATTTTCGAATTCAACACTTGAAGACAGATTAACTTAGTAGCCTGATGCTTTGTCTAGTACCGATTAGAGACTTGGTAGCGAGTCATGAAATTCCTTCATAGTTTTTTTTTGTTTTGTTTTTTGACAAAGACTCGACTCAAATACATACCAAAAAAGTGACAAAAAAAGTATAAGAAAGTTACGAACTATATGAGAATAAAAGAAAAGATTCGATGAAGACTCTTTTTTTTGTAAGAAGAAGAAAGAAAAACTTATCTGAGTGTGGGAGCCGAGTCTATTGATCATGCCATGCACTTTGAATTGATTTCCAGACTTGGCTATCCAATCTATTCATCAACCATTATTGATTATTCAATCTTGATGTGGAATCCCAACACTTAATGAAGCCATAAATAATCTGAACCCTTATAGAATTTGTGGTATTAACGAAGGTCTTTGCTGCTAAAACTCAATCATGTTAATTGCTCCAACTCACGTCTGCCTTAGGGTGCATGTCAGGATTTTCACCAATAAGACTCTCTTATATTGAACTCCTTTTCGCCTTACGGTGCCCACTTAGGATTTTCACCAATAAGACTCTCTCATTTTTATTTCTTTTTACTCACATTTGTCTTATGGTGCCCATTCAGGATTTTTACCTACCTTTAACCAACTTATTCTCGACATATCAAGGGATGATGCAAAGACTTTTTTTTTGACTTAAGATGATGGGGTTGATTTTGAGCTGTGAGATGAGAGACCGAATAAATAAACAAACGACTTTTGCCCCAGTATACTACAATATGAATTTTTGGATTTGTATTTGGTTGAACCGAACCCAATATTAGGGCTGCCTACGTATCTTGCCGAAACAAGAATCAGGTCAAACGTAGTTCAGAAAATTTGTTTTGTTTTTTTTTGTTTTTTTTCTTTTGTTTTGTTTTTGTTTTGTTTTGTTTTTGTTTTCGTTTTTTTTGAAAAGTCAAGGACACAGCATAACCAAGAGATCCCATTGAATCAACCCTTGAAATATCAAGCCCAAACATAAGGGTTTCTAATGTCCAATCATATGTAATATCTTTTCACAGCATCGGCATTGACGACCGTTTCTGTCACTTTGCCTTCTATATCTGCTAAATAAAGAGCACCATTGGATAAATACCCTTTTAACAACGAATGGTCCTCTCCAATTTGCAGAAAATTTGCCTTTGGTTTCAACATGATGTGGCAAAATA